GGCTGGTCAGAGCATCTGCTGGAGGCCACCAGGCCTGGGGCCTTTGACTGCAACAACGTGAGAGGAAGGCTGGAGCTGAGGCTCCTTCTGGCTCTAACAATGAGCTGCCCAGAGAGGGCTCTGCAGATCCCAGACTTTCCTCGGGAAGACCCAGTTCAGGCAGGAGGCAGTCAGCTTCTGTGGCTCAAGCTGAGGGACCCACTGCAACTATAATTATCTGGTTATTTCAGGCATAGCAAAAAAGCCAAAGCCAGAGGCTTTGGACCAGCTGCAGAGGCTCAGCTATTGGTCACTGGCCACAACCAGGGACCCACTCCAGCTACTTGTAGCTTTGAATGTGGAGAGGGAGGGTTACTGTCATTCAGGGGGCTCTAAGAGACACGGGGACCGAGAGGCAGTGTGTCTATTCTCTGGGGACAGCCAGCCTGCTTCAGCACACTTCCTGACTTGTGGGCCCTGCTGTGACTCAGCAGCTCTCTCCTATCCTGTGGCTCCCTGGGGGAGGTAGCGGTCACCAGTGTGGCCTGTGGGGTCCATCATGCCTGGGGTGACATCTGGCTCTGCCACTTACTAGCTGTATATCTTGGAACATTTGTAAACTTCTCTAAGCTTCAGTAAGAGTTGTCCGAAGGGTACTGCCCTTCCACAGTGCAGAGGGAAGCTTCTAGCCCAGAGGTGAATTATGTTGCACACACTGGGCAGGCATTGTGACCAACACCATGTAGGCTGTTTGCCAGTCTGCAGATAATTGGCTAAGTGCCTGTGCTGACTCAATCAGTGGCCATCCCCTCCCCCATCACTGGCAGCCCCCTGACATGTATATAAGGGAATACTATGCAGCCGTTAACATGTATAGGGCCTACCTCCACTCACTGACATGGAAGAACTTGTCAGCAGAGGATGGCAGAGGGCACCTGACTCGCAATGGGCTAGTGGCTATTTGGGGACAGCACGCGTGTAGCTCTCCTGTCTGGTCTCTTCCCCATGCATGGGCAGGTACTGTAGGCTAATGCAGCACAGAGCCCCTCATGACTCTAACCCCCTACGTGAAGCCAACCTCTGACCCACCTCCCACAACAGCATCACCACAAGTATCTTGCACACAGTGAGCTTCTGCCGGGGAAAGTCCCTCTGGGCTCCACTCAGTGCCAAGCCGGGCAAGTGCTCCAGCGCGTCAGAATTATCAGCCCTGAGCTAACAGTGACAGATGAACAGAGAGGTGAGCGGGGACAGTGAGCAAACAGATCTATTTCCCAGCCCCGAGGTTCCATCTGGGCTAACCCCCAACAAAAGACAAATTTCTCTGCGGAGGTGTCCGCAGAGCCTCATGTTGGAGCCAATGGTGTTCCCGTGAGCGGCTGCAGAATGAGGCGACAGGGCAGGCAGCAGACTCCTTGCTGCCATGCCGAGTGACATTTGCCTGCGCCAGGGTCAGAGGCCACTGCAGCACTGGAAGAGTTAAGAAGCGGGTGAGAAATGCAGTCCTTGGGTGCAAAGGAACAGGCTGTCTGGGTGGGTAGCAGTTAGCTGCAGTACCGGGATTCATCTTGTCCGCACCGTTCTGAGCAGTTTCCCTGGCCTGCTGGGCCCCAGCAGCCCTCTGAAGATTATGGCGGCTTCTGTGGGGGCCGCAGGTAGAAGCTAGGAAAAGGCTTCCCAGACAGTAGCACCAGGAGATGCTCTCACCAACATCCAGGGCCCACAGAAAGGACAGACAGGGCCCTCATACAATTGGAGCTATCAGGGCTGGCACCCCTGAGGTGTCACCGCTGGGATAAAATACTCAAAGCCGAAATTTACAGGAGTGGTTGACTCTGGCTGACAGAGTCAGAGGCTTCAGTCCATGGCCGCTGGCTCCAGGCCAGAAACATCCGGTGGAAGGGCGGGGTGGAGAAAAGCTGCTCCCTTCACGGTGTCGGGAGGTGGAGAGCAGAACAGCACCAGTGAGAGATGGACCCTTCAAAGGCACAGCCCCAGGACCCACCTCCTAATAGCACATCCACTGTGAACCAGGGATTAATCCACGGAGGACAATGCCTCCAGGACCCGGTCACCCTGGGAGGAGTCTCTTCTCAGTCAAGTTGACAATTACAATTAATTGGCACGTCAGACCCCTTACCAACACCCTGTGTTCACCCCTTTTCTGATACTATAATGAGATACCTGAGGCTGGATAATTTGTAGAGCAGAGGACTGCCTTCCCCTTATAGCTCAGGGAGCTCAAAGTCCAAATAACACAGCGCCAGCTGGCTGCATCTCATCAAGGTGGACTGCATCATGGGAGCACATACGGGAGGGAGAGACGAGTGTGTGAGAGACAGGAAGCAGAGCCCAGGGAGGCAGGCTCTCCTACCCCTCTCCCACTCCTTCTCCCCTCCCCCTCCCTCTCTTTTTTGAGACAGGGCCTCTCTACATAGCTCAGGCTGGGCTTAAATTCACTATGTAGTCCAGGCTGGTCTTGAATTCACTGCAAACCTCCTGCCTCAGCCTCCATAATGCTGGGATTACAGGCATGAGCCACCCCATCCAGCAGGAGTTCTCTTACAACAGCCTCTCCTGAGACAAGCAGGATCCTGGGAGACCCATCAGCTCCTTTCCAGGACAGCACCCACTGTCACCTAATGCCCTCCCATGAACCCTACCTCCTAAAGGCTGCAACACCTCCCAAACTGCTCCCAACACATGAGCCACTGGGGGATACGCTCAACACAGAGCACACCTGTGTGTGCTGTTACCTGACCGCACCGTGCAGCGTGGGCCCGTCCATCCACCATCAAGGGGACTGGAGTGACGCCCCTCAGGCCCAGTAGGTGCCCTTCAGCCACTGTCTGCATGTCCTAACCCAGGGGGCTCATGGCCTGGAAGGGCAGCCAAAGCACATGCCATTGAAGACCGTGGTTGATACCAAGGGTTCTACCAACCTACTCTGGCTGGCATGCAGCTGATCTAGGCTGTGTTTCCGGTGATGCCTCCTGGCCAGTGGCTCCATGGGGAATGTTATTCACACAGTGACAGCCACAGTATAAGCAAGACAAGTAGAGATGGTCAAGACCTCGTTAGGCCCAAGCTCAGAGCTAGGTACTGCTCCTGTCCTCATTCTGTTGGACAAGGCTGGTGTCGGGGCCCAGGCCAATATAAGCAGGAGGGGAGGAGGGAAGGAAGGAGTGAGAACTAGCTGACAACAGCCTCATCAACACAGCTCCTTGTCCTGTGTGTGTCCACTTACATTCTCATGTGTGCAAAGAGGACACACAAAAGTATTCAAAGAACAGTTTGTGATATTGAAAGTGAGGAGAAATGTTCGTCGACTAGAAGTGATGGGGTAACCGATTTCCTCGAGACCATAGCAGAATAGTACACTGCAGTTAAAAAAGGAATGGCCCTTGTCTTCATTAAATGATCCATAAAGATTCTCCCAAGACATGGTAGGTGGGAAGAGTGGGTCACAGAACATATACACGATGCTCGTGGTGAGGAGAGGGACACAGCCCACTGGTGTGTGTGTGTGTGTGTGTGTGTGTGTGTGTGTGTGTGTGTCTATAAAAGGAAAACAGGAAGGCAGGTCAGAGATACTTTTATCTGTGGGGAGGAATTTTTGAATTGTTTTAACTTTTTTTCAAAGGGAATGCATTTATATATGTGGATTTTATTAGTATTTAAATACCAAAAGACAAAAGTTGTAAACACCATTGTTAAGGGCCTGAGGCCTCATTAAACAAGAATGTTTTAGGAACTCAGGAATGCTCAAATCCTGCCAAACTGGAGCTGCTCCTTCCTCACCCTGTCCCACAGTGTTTTAGAAAGACAAACCCACATGAGCAATCTGGAGAAGGGAACTCTGATGGCCTCTTGAAGGGTGACAGTGCCCACAGAAGGGGGCCCTGCTGTCTCCCCTCCCTGTCTCTCCCCTGTGGGAAAGGGGTGTCTCAGCCTGCTTGAGCTGCAGTAACAAAGGGCCATAGGCTGGGTGATGTGTACACAACAGGAATGCATTATTTCTCCCAGCTCTGGAGGCTGACAAGGCCCAGGCAGAGCTGGTATCTGGTGCAGGCCCAGTTCCTGGTTCACAGATGGCATCTTTGTGCTCTGTCTTCACATGGAGGAGAGACACAGAAGACCGACCCCAGGGGCCTCTTCTAGAAAAGCACTAACACCAGTCATAACCTAAATCACTTTCCAAGAGGCCTCACATCCCAACCTCAAGGCCTTGGAGGTTAAGATTCCAACCTGTGTGACTAGGGGAGATCCCGACATCCTTACCCCAGCAGGGGGAAACCCTTGGTAAGAAAGCGTTGGCCCCAGTCCAGCCCACCCAGCAAGGCCACTGTCCCGGACTTTGCATGAAGGAAGGCTCTGCATGAAAACTCTCCCATGGCCCCGAGGGATCCACACGCTTCCTTCCCTTCTCAGCCTCAACTGCCTGGGCTTTTGACCTTCAGGTTCCCAGGGGCCACCTTTCCCGGCCCACTCTCACTCCCAGGGCTGAATGCAGTGCTCCCCACCCCCACCCCCACCCCGCAAAGCCTGCAGGAACCGCTCCCAAAAGACTAAGAAATCTGCTGAAGAAAAACCCAGTTTCTTGGCTTCCTGCACCATAGCCAGCGTGGGTCTGTGACAAGCCAACGGACTCTGAGAGGGCCAGGTCCTCCTTCAGCAATGACAGGGGCACTTCTTTTCTCCTGATGTGAGCCCCCGACTCCAGGGACCGTCTTCCCTCTCTTCCTCAGGAATCTGCTAGCTAACACCACTCTCTGGGGTCCACCCTGGACTTCTTGCCAGAGAGAGCCTGTCCTCGAGTGCCGTGCAGAAGCACTTCCGGTGTGCTTGTCCCCCTGCACCTCCACCGTGCCGGAGCACCCGGTGGCATCTTCTCGCCTCCCGCTCTGCCTGGCCCTGACCCCTGCACGTAGGTCACTCATTGGGAGTTCCCTGACTTGCCTCCATTGTAACAGCCAGCACGCATTCACCCATTTGCTGCTGTTAATTAAGCATGTACTTACTTCGTGCCAGGCACTATCCTAGGGGCAGTGAAGAGACAAAAGTCTCTTTGCTCTTGGGGTTTCCGTTCTGGAGGAGAGGAGAGAAATGAGAAAAGGACCTCAGTCAGAAGCAGTCAGTGCTACTGTGGAGGGAAGGCAAGGAAGGGGGCGCAGGAGTCATCTGAATTACGAAGTGAGGACGGACCTCACCGAGGAGATGACATTTGAGCAGTGGCTTGCAAGAAGTGAAGAAGTGAAGCTCGCAGATAGCAGCAGCAGGAAAAGCCACTCAGGCCAAGGGGACAGCAGAGGAAAAGCACCGAGACAGGCTGCACCTGGTATGTTCAAGAAACAGCAAAGAACTGTGAATGGTGGGGCAGAAGAAAAAGGGCAGGGTGGATGATCGGGGGAGGCTCAGGGTGTCTGAGGGAGAGGTGTCTGCAGTCATGGAAGTGCTGTGGGCCATGCTGAGGGAAAAGGGCTGGCACTGGAGGGCTTGGGGTAGAGGGGAAAACTGACTTCCGTTTTATCAGGCTCTGTCTGGCTGCAGTATTGAGAAGAGGTGGAAGGGGCCAGGGCTCCAGCAGGAGACCCCAGGGACTGCCATGGTGGCCCCAGTGGGAGGCGGTGGGGCTCTGGCCAGCGTCTAGATGCAGAAGGACAGAGGGAGTGGGGAGCAGGCTTGGCTTTCCAGACTCACAGGAGAGTAGCACCTAACAGACATGCGGACAGGTCAAGGGCAGGATGTGAGAGAAAGACAAGGGTGTGCAGACAGCAGCAAGGCTTCTGGCTGGGGATCTGCAGGGATAAAGCGGCTATGAACTAAGATGTTCTCTTAGTCTACTTTTCTCCTGCTGTAATAGAACACCCAAACTGGGTAATTGTTTTTCTTTCAAAAAATTTTTTTATTAGAACACGTTTGCAGTACATAATGATTACGTTTACCATGAGAAGCCAGGGAATCTATAAAGAACAGAAACTTATTTCTGGCAAGTCCAAGCCTGAGGGTCCCACTTGCAGCAGTGTCCTCCCATGGCAAAAGGCAGAGTGTCAACGGACTGTGTGTCAGCGACTGGGGCCAAGCCTTGTGTAATTCACCCCCCCCTTGCACTAGTGCACACGTCTCTGCAGTAAAAACAGCAGCCCCTTCCTGAGGGCAGAGCCCCTGACCTGGTCACCCCTCAACAGTATGTACTGGGGATTAAGTTTCCAACAGATGAACACTGGGGACGCCTGAAAACCCTAGCAGGCACCGGCCTTTGGCTGTCCTGGGCACAGAACACAAATGCTTTACCTGAGTTGTTCAGTTCCTTTGCCTCTGAACCCACAAGGTTTAATGCAGTCAGCTCAAGTCCACACAGTGGGTAGATGCTCCTGGGCCAGCCTGTCTGGCTCAAATATTCATCCCATCTTCCTCAGGCAGCATGATCCAGGTGGCTGATTTCAGCACTCTTCCGGCCATGGGTATAAAACACAGCATCCCACACTGTTTGCTTTGTGTTTTGTTTTGTTTTTGAGGTACTGGGAATTGAACCCAGGGCCTTCACACTGAGCTACATGCCCAAGCTTTTTTTGTTTTTCTTTCTTTCTTTTTTTTTTTGGTACTGGGGATCGAACTCCATTCCTTGCACTTGCGAGGCAGGCAACGGCACCACTGAGCTAAATCCCCGGCCACCAAGTATTTTTTTTTAACTTATTTTTGAGACAGGGTCTCATTAAGTTGCTAAGTTGCCCAGGCTGGGCTAGACCTTGTGATCCTCCTGCCTCAACCTCCCAGAATGAAGCCTCCCACACTGTAGAATCATTCTTTTGCTGTCACTCCTGCTTCTGACTGACGGGGTCATTCTCCCTCAGGGTCATCCATGCCGTGTTAGCCAGTCAGGCACTGGAGACAGAGGCCTCTCATGTGCCTGCTGCCTGGGCTGGAGAGACATGACCTGCTGCAACTGTAGGCCTGGGAGTCCTGGGGTCTTGCCCTCTCTCTCTCTCTCTCTCTCTCTCTCTCTCTCTCTCTCTCTCT